TGCTGAAGCTTCGCTTTGAGGATGGTGATCTAAGCTCCCCTTAAAATTAGTGTTGCTGAATCGCTGAATTTGAGTTTCCGCTTGATTTTGACATTGTTGTTTCTTTGGGATTCTAAAGCGATACACATTCTAGGGTGTTGATTTCACATTTTAAAGGACACGGCCCCTGAGGTGCTACAGTACGCCCTGTGCGCGGTTGATCTGCGGCTACCTTTGAGCAAAACTGCGTACAGTAGGCTAATGGGGAAGCGGTCTTTGCTGATGAAGGAGCTGCAGCTTTAGCAAATCAAGCAGAAGCGACTGGAATTGAAGCTCCGTTTGGATTAGTATTGCTTAAGTATTGTCATGCAATTCTACAAGCCCACGGGTGTCCAACAAACGCTATGTTCGGGGCCTTGAAACGGGAGGGCCGCGAAAGTACTTCCCACGCTGCGCGATTGTTTTGAGCTACTTACTTGAACGAGGAGAAATGCCAAACATTTGCTTATGGAGGAGCCGCAGCTTGAATGAAAGCACCTAGATGGATTTGCCTTTGGACTTTTGACCAGGTCCATAAAAAGTTTTGCATGGGGGAAAGCGTTGCACCATGCGGCCAAAACCCCGGGAAAAGCAGGGGTTGGCTGGCTGAGTGTCCTAGTAATGGATTTGGCTCAAAATTAAACAGGAGGGGTTACGCAGGTTTTGGTCCAACCACGAAATGGCCTGGTCGCTTTTTTGGCGTTTCCTCTAGACAATGAATATTTGTGGTCTCCCTTCCGTTCGTTTGCAGAGTAAATTCGAGTTCTAGGCATTGGGATGCCGCGTGTTCGACGTGAGTAGCTCAAAAAAGCACAAATGGAGACAAGAAACGACCACCAGAGTGAAGCGGGAAGTCAGCTGGGACCAAACTCGATGAACAGTTCCCTGTGCATGTGCTCTTCGCTCAAAAACCCCGGCAGCGCCTTCGGCAGAGGCCCCAGGAATGTGAGGCCCATGCGATGCCGTTCCTGGGCCGGAAGCTCCATGGAACATGGGCGTGCCTTTTTGAGAAACCCCGGAAAACGGAAAACCCCCTTGGCACCACACAGCCCAACCCTGTTCCCACCACCCCAACATGGAAGTGGAAGGGCACTGCGCATTCTTCCGTGTCTCCCACACGTAAAGGCCTCGTCCTTGCTTGCCTGGTTCCGTTAAGTTGCGAGCAAAGCGTGATTGCAGGGCCACCAGAAATTCACCGGGGCCAAGTCAAGTGCAGATGACATCACTTTGTCAACCCTCACGCCTGCATCCTCAGCAAGCAATGTTTCTTTTCTTCTTGGTCGCCACATACCACAAAACGCAAAGATCAGCCCCACTTGCGCAACGGACCTGGCATCAACCTTCCAACGCTGAGAATTGAACAAGACATATGGCTCAGATGTAGGCAACAGCTGGGATGCACCGGGGGAAGGTAGCTGAAATCCCGAGTTCCCCACCGCCAAACGCCACAGGTTGCATGTGGTAAGATTTGTTGCGTATGTGTGTCACGGATATCATGTAGACAAGGGTCGACCTTCAAAACCCCATCCAACCCTGAAACGCTACAGAAGGCAGACAAGTCACAAGGGCTGGCAGGGAAATGCGCGTGTTTGCGCTCCAAGCGGCCCTCGAACCCTCCCGAGCCCTCAGCCCCCACCCCACGCCCCACCCATGGCATTAGCCATGGAAGTGGCGTCCGGCTGCTTTCATTGGCCCAGAGTGGAACCCTTTTTTTTGGGTTGACCGTCTTTAGCGGATCCCACACCCACCCAACCAAAAAGATTTAGACGGTGCCACTGAACAACTGGCCATGGGTCAAAATCCAAATCGTACCCCCAGTGAATCTCCACTAAAATGGACCAAAATGGGTGGTGAACCTACCCCAAAACCCCACAGCCAACTGGGACTCGGAACCAATGAGGGACCCCCCCCCACAAAAAAAAGGTCACCAGAGCCAAGCAAAGAAAGCTCAAAGCCAGCCAAACTGAAAGCCAAAGCTATCCAAAGGAAGCAAAGGAAACCGAATCAACCCCCTTGAGGAAGCCAAACCAAATCAAAGGAAACCAAAAGCCCAGAGCAAACCAAAAGTAGGTCGTTAGAATAAGGGTGCCAGCTTCTCTGTAGTCGATTTTAGGGGAACCCTTGCCCACAAAAAGGGTGAGAAAGGGCACCTATTTCCCAGTTGGGGGACCTAGCAGAGCAAACCAAAAGGAAGCCAAATCAAACCCAAAGGAAGCCAAACCAAATCAAAGGAAACCAACAGGAATCCAAAGCCCAAACCAAAGCTCAAGGCAAACCAAAAGGAATCCAAAGCCATGCTCACTTGCTGAGTGCATGGCCCATAAAGAGTATCCAAACTTTGTGCATACCACTAAAATGGTCCGACCCCAAAAAGTCTTCCAAGTTCATGAACTCAGGAGCCCTCCCCCCCAAAAAAGGGGGTCTTACCCCTTAAAACTCCCTGCGCCCTGGGGAAGTTCTCATCTTTTACAGACATATAGCCCATGTTGCCCCCAAAAAGTTGAAAGGTTTTGTGTTTTTAAGAGGTAAGGCTTTAAGGGGTTACTCCGGGCACCACTTGCTGGGGGACCTAGAAAAGGAAAACCCGGAGCCACCGGAAGCCACCCCGACTCCATCGATCGGGGGGCGGAGGACCGCAGCCAGCGCTTCCGCTCCCGGCCGGTCCACAGGAGCTCCGTCTCCAGCTCCGGCTCGGACCTCTCGTTGCTCTCGTTGCGCGCCGTGGATCCCCAAGAAAAAAAAAAGGAGCTCTCGTTGTTTGGAGGGGTGTGGTTTGCCCATTTACCTTCCACAAAACTTGCTGGTGCGATAGGGAAGGACGGAATGAACCTGGGGATTCCCTTGAAGGAAACCGCAAGGGACGGTTTACTCCACAAGACAAGCCGGGGGTTCAAATCCAAGTCACAAATCCAAAGCACCAACCTGACAGGTTACTTGAGACCGGGGCTCCGACCAAGAAAAAACACGAGCTCCGACGCGCGGAGCAAAAGCTCCCCGTGTGTTTTTTGTTTTTTTCACGAGCCCTAAGATCCTGAACTTTAGGCACTGTTGGGGGTTGGACCATTTCAGTGGCTATGTTCTTGGGGGGGGGGATGGGATCTTGAAACTTTATGGCTGTTTGGTAACGGATCTGTGGACTTTAAGTTGGGAAACAGGCCGGATGTTGCCGAATTGGACCCAACCTGCGATGACTGGATCCAACAGAAGGTGTCCCTCTCCCGAGTGGATTGGCCAGAAAAAGTGCGCAAACTGTTTGTTCACTAGACTTGGCCTTTAAAAAGTATTCCGAGTCCAGCAATCCAGACATCTCAGGGAGTGAGTTCTTGAATCACAGTCAATTTCAGCAACCCCTCTGCAAAAGCAGGTTAACATTCAAAGACCTGCTACCACTACGAAACAACCATAAACTTGTCAAGGTCGAACTTCTGAGCCTATTGCTTGCCCATGCCAGCAACGCGTTCAGGTTGTGCCGAAAATACCGCGTGCTCGGAATTGCTGTTCTCCATCCCTGCGACTCTTGGGGTGCAAAGCAGCCACATAACTCCTGACTTTGGGTTTTTGAATCTCAGTTGCTCATCCGGAATGCACATCTTTGGCCCTAGTCGTCTCACACCGGACTTCGCCTCGATACAAAACCGGGCTGCCCTCAGATCCCCTGCTAAAAGTTCAACTTTTAGTGGGCTCAATTCGGACACCCCACTATAAACACCAGGCCAAAAAGGCGGACGGACTGGATGAACCCCTGGGAGCCACCGAGAAAAATCGCGGACGCGCTGACCCCCCCCCCTCTGCAGGCCGCGGCGCCGCCGCGCCTGCCGAAAGGCACGTGGGAAGCGGGGCACGCTTCGACGACTCCAAGACTTGGGCTAAAAAAAACCCGTGGTTGGTAGTCCCCCAGAGAAAAGTCCATGGGTTTTTGAATCTGGGGTAGTCAAAAAAGTGGAAGGTCCTCAAAACCTAGCACCTTCTTGGTTCCTTCCAAACAGACCAACGCACCTGTGAAAGCGCCCTTGAAGAGGAAAGGAGCTGAGGGCAAAGCGGCCCAGGGCCTTTGTGCCCTCTGTCGCCTTTCGCTTTTCCAAACTACTTCACGTCACCTCTCCAATACTTCCATTTGCTTAAGGCCCCACGAAAAAATGTAGACCTCCAGTAGTGATGAATTCCTTTTAAAACCAACAAGGGAAATAGATATGTTCTTAAGCAAATGGAAGCATACATCCCGCAAGCTCAACATGCGGGGATAAGCTGCAATCAGATCCGAGCACGGTGAACTCTTTGCGAAGCTTTGGGTTAATCCGAGGGAGCCCACAGAAGCCCCCATTTTTTTAAAAATATTTTTCCAAACCTTGTCGACCTTGGGGGGGGTTCATCAAGTTCCCCATGTAGAGGCTCTTCTCCTGCTTCCCCATCCCGCTGAAACCTTCAAGTCGCAAGCCTTTGGCGCCTCTGAGTGCCCATGCAACAGGCTTCCGTCTGATGCCCTGGCTTTGAGCCGGCTGCCTTAGGCAAGCTCCGAAACAGAAAAATGGACCCTAGGTCCTCCAGTAGAAAGCTTGGAATGAGGGTTCCTTTTTTTTCTGTAGTTTATTTTCGTAGGGGAACCCTCCCCCAAAAAAGGGTAAAAGGGCACTACCGGGGGACCTAGTCAGCATCTTCCGTTTGCTTAAGCCGCCCGGAAAAGATAATCACATATTCCCAGTAGTGATAGATTCTCTTTAAAACCAAGATTTGGAAAAACACAACTTAAGCAAATGGAAGTTATGCCGCATGGCTAGGAAGGACTTCAACCAATTCTGGTGCAGCCTTCCGCCCGAATGCACGAGCGCGGGCTTGCGGAGGGCGCTCAAAAAACCGGAGTTCCAAAATGGGTTGCCCGATCGGTAAGTCGAAACATGGGTACCAAGACCTGCGGTTGGCCCCTGATTCATTTTGAGCCACACCCGAAACAGCGCACAGAGGCATTTGAGCAAGAGATGTCAACTGGCTTGGTGTAGGAAATGCTCCTGAAATACAAGCACGCATACAACAAGCTTGTTCAACCCCAATTAATTACATCTAGGTGCGCAAGCTTGGCACGAGCGGAAGCGTGTGGACCAATCGTGGACCTCAGGACCTCAGTACCTTGTGCTTGCAGCGTAGAGCACAGCCCAACCTGGCCGGGAACTGAAACGAGGCAGAAAAGCACTCGCCTTCAGGGAGGAAACCAAAAATCGCCCCGTGTCAGGATGGATTCCTAGAGCCTTCTTAGAGTCGGTCCTTGGAAGGCGCCTTTGCAGCTTGCGCGGGGGAATTGGGGGGGGCCTAAGTGTCGCTCCTGAGGCAAGTTGTCCAAACAACGCCAAAGATAGATAACACATTGGGACGAAAAACCAACATGCTGGCGTAGGTAGGCTCATCCGGCGCCAGAAACTTGTCCTACTTCGACTAAAATGCAACCGGCACCATGTCAAAAGAGGCAGGCTTGCTGAAACACAAAGAGGTTGAACACCTGGCTTCAAAGCTCAGCGTGTGCGATACGACCCGCAGCTTGCAAGATGTTGCAAAAGTCTATACCTGCGTCTACCCCACCAACACACCTACCAACAGACATACGGGCGTGTCTATATTTCGGGGAACCCCCCAAAAAATAAGGCTTTCCTTTAGGTTCCCCTTAAAACAACACGAGAAGAAAAAAAACAACAACAACCTTGTCAAAAAGGCAAGCTATATCTTCAACAGCTTTCTCATACATACAATATATTAAAAACGAAAACATTGCCTTTGTCCCATTTCTCTACCCATTAACGGCCTAGATGGGACCCATCGGAGCCTTCGAGGATCTCCATGGATGCGTCGCCGAAGGGCAGGAACTTCGCCTTTGAGAGACTCTTGTTCAGCGTCCCGTTCTTGATGGCCACCTGGCGCAAAAAACAAAACACAAAAAACATTGTGCTGCATGACGTTTGGCGCCGCAAAGCACGTCGTTTTGGGCTTTTGGGGCTGTGTTCTGGTCATCCGATGGGATGAAGAAATGAGACACCTTCGCAGATCGCAGTAAAAACCAAAAAATCACTGCAACGCTTTGTCTTTGGGCGTGTGTTTTTTGAAAGGTACCCCATTTCGAGGTTGATTAGCAGGGAAGCCAGGGAAGCCAGGGAAGCCCAAAAGGACAACCACCGCAAAATCAGGTCCCCTGAGTTTGACAGAGGGGCTATGGGAGTCAGAGACTTCTTGCCACCATCCCACGATATCCTCGACTCACGCCCCAACAGGACAGATCCGTCCTGCTCACCTCTAACAACACGTTAACTGATTCTATAAAGCCATCAGCAGTTCAAATCCGAATGGGTCGACTTGCTGGTGCTCAGCCCGGTTGTTGGGAATGAACCGGCAGGGATTCCCAAAAGGACACCACAAAGGACAGGGTCATTCCATGTCTCATTCCCTGCTGAGCACCAGAAGTCTCTCTCTCCACCTCTCTCGTGGGGTGTTACTAGACGATATTAAGCCCAAGGAACTCACCCGGCGGCCGTTCACCGGAGAATTTCCAGGTCACAAATCGCTTCCGAAAGCAACGCACGTTAAATGGTGTCTGAAATGACTTGGGATCAGGAGAGGGATACCATGAACGAATTCCCAACAGCGGCCCTTCTGGGTCTTGAAGGGTTCAGGCAGGCTCTGGCAAGAGGGTTCGGGCTGGCGTGGGTGGGCTGGCTTTTTGGGAATGCTATAGGGTTGGTTTGGAGTGCCTGGTTGAGGTTGGGTTCGAGAAGTGTCAGCTTTCGGGTCGCTCATGGTTTGTGTGGGTGTGCTGAAAAAGCGCGCAGGGTCGCTTTAGGCTTGGCTAGAATCCAGCCGCCAAACAAAAACACCAAAAAACGGCCAAACAACAGGGGAAACGCAGCTTAGTGGCCCAAACATCCATTCCGCCAACCAACCCTTCCCCGCCCGCCCGCCCCCCAGGTCGGCCGTGCCGTAGGGTCCACATACCAATCTCCAGTTTGATGGTCATCCCGTGCTCGTTTTTCTCATCCCTTAAACCCTGCACATTCTGATCGTCTGCCCTTTGGGAGCTTAGTACATTGTCCTCCCGTGCTCGTTTGCTCATCCCTTACATTCCCTTACACCCAGCCATGAGAGGCAAGGGCACACCCCGTCGAGTCCAGCTGAACGGGTACCCCCCAAAACCGGAAGCCGATGGCCTGCAGGGGCCGCGGGTGCACGCAGCCCACGCGCCGGAGCTTGTGCACCACCTGCTGCTGGTCTTTCAGGTCCCAGCCCGTCTTCTTCGCCAGCATCCTCGGCGCCCGAAGACGAATTTCAGCCGAGCTCAACCGAAAGTTTTGTGGCTCTTTGCGGGCGGAAATTGCCGAGTTGAAAACGCGTCTGGACGGAAATTGACCTGCACAGAAGGACAGAAGCTGGGAGTGAGGTGGGGGCGTTTGCCATTGTTCGGAGCATTTCTGAGGCATGAGCCTACGCACAGGGACATGGGACATACACACAGACACACCCAACCGTGCAAACACAGAGTTAGTAATGTGTATTTTCACAAACAAAAACAAGTGAGAAGTGTGTTTTCAGCACGTGCGCCCAATTCTTTGAAAGGAGGCTTCGGGCAGAGTTCTTTTACATGCCTCCAAGGTTTGAGGACGGTTTTTCGCCTGCTCTTTCAAGGGCAACCCTCCCCTGTATCTGCAGGTCAGCGGAATTTGGCAAGCAGGGTGCTATCACTGGACTCTTGTGGACGTATCTGCTTGATGGTCGGGTGACCATAGCATTTGGCACTCTGGGGGCCAAAGAGCCTGCAGCAAGATGACGCAGTGACTGAGAAGTCATGTTTTGCACAATTGCTTCTTCACGAACCTGAATGGAGACCCCAAGTGGAGACCCCAAGTGATGCGTTGGTTTGTGTTCTTCGCAAACTTCGTATTGGACATTATTCAAGCTTCCGCGGACCCTTCCGCATGCTTGCCGCGGGCCACAAGCTCTCTTCCGTGTTGGCGCAGCCTTCGTAGGCTTGAGCTCCTTTGGGCTACCTCGTGCTTCGTGGGCACTTGCCTGTAAACACGGGCCACCCCTCCGCGGAGCTTCCGAACCTTCCGCAACTCAGCGAAATCCGCCGGCTGCTTTGGTCCTCTTGGCTCGCTGTTCGCTGCTCTTCTAGTTGGTGTGTTTTTTCTGGTATGCAGAAACACCTTGCTGCTTCTACTGTAATCGATTCTCCGTGCTTTTGCATGCATGATCATGCGTGCAACATGAAACAGCTCACATGTATACATATATGTATATATATATATATATATACATCCGACCACACAGCTTCCGCGAATGAAATCCCTTCCGCGAAGCCTTCCGCATGTTTCCGTGTGGCGCGGTGCGCATGTTCAAGAACAATGTCCTTCTCCAACGCCGCTCAAGTGAGACACCTTCATGGGTATTGGGTATAGCTATGCGTTTTTGGAAGCCTCCGGTGAGCCTAATATAGATACCCACTTCCTTGGCCGGCTGGGCCCAACACAAATTCTTTTCAACTGAGGGCGTGAAGCTGGTGGATATCTCAGCCGGAGCTCCGAACAGTTTTTGCCAGCTCGTTGTGCTCAAAGGCGAAATCCGTGAGGACTCGCATCTCCTCCTCCTCGAACATTTCCACGCCGATTTTCTGGCCGGCTGGAAGGCAAGAATGGATTTGCCTTTGGACTTTTGAGTGGGGTCCATCAAAAGTCTTGCATGGGGGAAGCGTTGCACCATGCGGCCCCCAAACCCCGCTTGAAATGAACGGCTTGGGAGGCTGAGTGTCCTAGAAATGACTCAGCTTGGACACATCGACAATTGCAATCATAAGCTGGAACCAAACCCCACCTGATGGAAGCCAAGAGCTGATCTGCCCGACGATTCCGATAGACTGAGCAGCATGCTGGTCATGCCACATGACGATCACTCCCCTTCAAAGTACTTCAGGGCGCTACTTTGTTCAGGAACGCGCTTCCAAGCAATACTTCTGACCAGCACTCCCCTGACCAGCACTGCTGAATCCCATGAAATAGGCTCGTCATGGCTTGTCACAGGAACGTGTGAACAAATTGACTGACACACCTCTGACTCAGAAGTGCCACTCCCAACTAACGCAGCAACACCGCGCGTTGAGTGTTGGGCGCTTCTGGGCAACACTTCCAAAGCGGCACTTGTACACCGCCCGGAGGCACCTCTGATTGACGCGCCCATTTCCACAAAATGTCCGTTTCGAGCATTTCCAAAAGAAACAGAAGAATCACCAAAAGCCAAGGTACGAATGCAATGACAATTACATGGACCGCGCAGCATGGCAAAACCAAGCAAAGAAACATGCAAAATGTTAGCGCACCTAAGCAAAAACGAGCACCACACAAAAACAGCACGCGCACGCATGAGCACGGGCACACCAAGCACAAACAAATTCGCAGCACATAAAACTAAAAACCCCAGGTGACTTTTCAATGCACCACGCAGTTTGGAGATCGGTTTGCCAAACAACATAAACAACAGAAAAAGGCAGATCCGGCCGGAACCGCACGTTTGTCGTATCGCCCAACACCAACCATGAGACCTCCCCCCAAATCCCCAAATCCGAATTCAAATGCCGACGCCTCCAGGCTCTTTTGCACCGAGCCCTCCGTAAACTCCTCGATGTACCTCTGATTTGCCGTGGCGATTGGGTAGAAAGTCCAGGTCCCGCTATGTACATGTCTGTGTGCGTGTCATTGCCTGTTGCATCTCTGTGTGTGTGTGCGCAGTGCATGTGGGTGTAACTTCGCTCTGCTTGCTGGTAGTTGTTTGTGTTTGTGCTTTGGTGTGTGCGTGGGTGGTCGTATGCGTGATTCGCAGTCTTTGTGCGCGTTGTGTTTGTTTTCGGGTGTGTGTGTGAGTAAGTAAGTAAGTAAGTAAGTAAGTAATTAGGTAGGTAGGTAGGTAGGTAGGTGAGTGAGTGAGTAAGGAAGTGAGTGAGTGAGCGAGCGAGGGAGTGAGTGAGTGAGCGAGGGAGTGAGTGAGTGAGGGAGTGAGTGAGTGAGAAGCCCTCGGTGTCAACAAACCCAGGGGTTCAGCTGATTGCTAAGAACCGAGCAAGGGGCAAGGGGCGCGGAAGGCCCTTCGAATCCCATGAGAAACAACAGCCACGATCTAGCTTCATTCCGCGACCATGGGTGGGACATTGGATGGGCAAACCAAAATGGGCAAAACAGTGCTGCCATCATCTGCGAGAATGTTCCAATTTCAGGTGAGCTTTCCAAAATGACACAGCTGTACTGAGGTGAGCGTATACGCTGTTACCTTTGCATTCAGTTTCATGCCGGCCCGCATTTGGAGGGGGTTGCTTTGCCATCCGCCTGCCAAAGGATGGTCAGGGCTCCGCACATCTTGGCAACAGAATTTGGTCTGAAGGGCCAAGTGGAAGACCACAGCTCTCTTTCAGCCACTTGTCGAAGCTCTGAATAACATGGATATGAAAATGCAGAAACATACCGGCTCGCCATTTGAACAAAACAATTTTTGTCTGGTTTAAAGGTATCCTTTTAACATAATTGTCTGCTTCAAGGAAAACCCCGAAAGAAAAACCTTTGAGACCCCACGGGACCCAACAGAACCCATCGGGCACCAAGTCTCAGTGTAGAGGTTACCGCGGACCATGTGGTCCAGCACCTTCTGCGCCTGACGCATGAGACATCGACACCATGCATGTGCATGTGTCTCCCGCGCGCATAGGCTCAAGGTCATTCAAAAGAACGTGGTTGCTGTTGACCCCCTGCAAAACCACCGCCAGAAAGGCTGCCCCGTCAATCATGAGACCAAAATGCACCTGGCAAGGTTCACGAGTGTGTGTGTGTGTGTGTGTGTGTGTTGTGTGTTGTGTGTTGTGTGTTGTGTGTTGTGTGTTGTGTGTTGTGTGTTGTGTGTTGTGTGTTGTGTGTTGTGTGTTGTGTGTTGTGTGTTGCGTGTTGTGTGTTGTGTGTTGTGTGTTGTGTGTTGTGTGTTGTGTGTTGTGTGTTGTGTGTTGTGTGTGTGCAAGGGTTCAAGTAGCTTTGGCAAAGCTTCGTGCAAGCTGGCTTACCCCCATTTGCTTAAACCTCTGAAAAAAATACCGGCAGCGAAATCAATTCCAGTTGAAACCAACCGGGGGAAAATAAACAATCTTCATTTCAGCTCAAAGTTGTTGAACGCCGGTGGCGCCTTGGCCTCTTCCCACTTGCCGCTTTGGGCGATTTGCTCGAAGAGCGGCTTGAAGGCCGCGATGTCTTTTGCTTTCGCATCCTTTTGCGCCGCCTCCACAGAAATGGAGGGCAAATCTGGGATGAGCGAACGGTTCTTCTGAAAGGAGACTTCTCCAATGGAGGATATTTTTGGTTTTGGGCGTGTTGGCCTGAGGAAAAGTAGCCACAAATTTCTAGATGCGGCATAAAGGACCCCCCATCTTGTAATGCCGTTTGATGCAACTTATCCTTGGCTGCCTGATGCGGCAGATGAGTCTGGTTCCCCTTTCCCAACTTTTGATCGGGGTTGTGTGTGCGTGATTATTCCATTTGCCTAAGGCCCCTGAAAGACAATGAGCGTATTCCCAGCTGTGATCGATTCCCATTGTGGGTACCTCTTGTCGCGGCTGCTTTCCTGAGAACCAAAAGTCCAGTACCTTCTGCATTCTTCCTGGGGGTCCTTTCTAGAACACCTCCAGAATCCCAGGGAAAACAGATCCGGATTTTGAAAAGAACGATGATTTAAAAGAATGGACAAGGACTCAACCCCTAGAAAAAGGAACACTAACCAGTTCTTGGGTCCCCCCACCTTGGCATATGGGTGGGTAGAAAATAGGTACCCCAATTTGAATCCTGGTAAATGGAAGCAAGGACTCAAAATTGACTAAAACCTGCGGTCCCCTGGTGGTGAAATTTTGGCCCATACCATATCAAACTTGATTCTACCGCGCGGCTGCGGAAAAAAACAAAACGCCGGCCGGCCTCGGACGCCTCGATCAAAGCCTGCATAGAGGAATACCGCTCCTTGAACCGCTCTGCAGCCGCGAAACGCTCCTCCGTGTTCTTCAGTTTCTCCTGGCTCTGAATGGGTTCGGATGAGTGTAGTTTCTACACCAGGCCGAGGAGATCTAAAGAAAAATGACTGCACCTGGCAGGTGGTGTTGATTGCTGTTGACAATACCCTTTTTGGGTTCGAAAGGAAATCAAAAGGAACCCAATCAGATTGGGTCCGCCCCAATTTTCATGCACAAATGGGGGGTGGGGGGCGGGAGAGTTTCAGCACGGATTAAGTTCCCATTTGGTGTCCATTGCAATAACCGAAAAGGGGTACCCTCGAGAATACCCATGTGTCATCGATGCATCTGTTAGCGCCTTGTTTGTCAACGTTGCCACCCAGCTGTGGCCTTCGGCAAACAACAACCCGTGAATTTCTGAGACGATCCTGATATGCCCCCCTCTTGTTTGCAAGCAATAAAACGGCCCCGTGCCCCCAAGCTG